TGTCCTTGAGACACCAACCGTCTGACGTGGACAAACAAACGGTGTGTGGGGATGCTGCACGTCATGAAGTTATGATCCAGATGACAGAAGATATTCAGCTCCTTTGCAGCGATCTGTTCACACACACAAAGACGACATCTGTGCTGCCTTAAAGAACAACTGAAAGTAATACATTTAATATTTTAATTTATAAGTGCATTTGGCCACATTGTGATCTTGATAGTATTTAGATTGCAGGTCGCTGTATAGTAGCAATAAAATGTAGGACATAATAAATGAAGCTTTAGAAAAGTAAAGAGAGAGCGGGAGGGATTAGCGGAGGACCACTTAAAATGAAAAATCACGATGGACGTATCATATTTCATTATGGAAAGGACGTACCCATCGACCTTCATCAGCAACTGGATTACATATTTTGGATTTATTACTGCCCGTTTATTCCCTTCTGTGTCATTAACACAGATGGCCTTTGCAGTTCTCACCTCTGCATCCTCTTCCAAAGACTGTACTTGTAACCACACTCACAGCAATTAACGCATCCTGTGCTGCTGTTTCAGCTGGAATGACCTGCTGGGTGGTCAGAGGGGGTACACACTCTTTGACGTTTAGACGGGGCACATACAGGATTTGATGGAGGACTCATCTCTGCTACCCCTTCCTAACTGCCTCCCTCTCCTCCTGAATGCAAATTGAGACAATTTGCGGAAGCCCTGCAAAGAAAAAAAACCAAAGATAACTTTTCAGTAGCAACATCCTCATTTAAAGGTTTCAGTTCTCCTTTCTTATAACCCATCTTTTGTTTACTTTTGTCTACAGCATTAATACTGGGATTTAACATATATATCTGGCCAGCAGCCATATGATGACTGATATTATATTATATTATTATATATCTTGATTATATTCTGGAAAGTTTCTGTGTGATTTGTGTGATTTGAATTTGTATTATTTGTATATTTGTATATTTTATGACCACGCACCACGTCACATCCTCGTAGGCGTAAAAAAACCTACTGCAATAAACAAAAATTCTGATTCTGATACTGGCCATAATGTCATAATGAAACAAATAACTATATTTCTAAGAGATCCCTAGAATGTGTTGGGTTTTGTTGTGACCACAGCACAGTACACAGACACCTCAAACATATACATGAACTTCTCGTTACTTACCAACAAACATATATTGGGCATAGGACGGTCACAATAATTACATTATAAACTTATACAATATATGGTGTCGATGATTTCAATAGTGCCTGTTGTATTTGTTTACACAAGAACACTCCCACTATAAACGTTTTGTCACATCACCTAAGCCAAATGAACGGGAATGAAACTGTGCTGAGACACGTTTTACTGTCATTTCTGGTCACACTGCTTCTCTCCTCTTGTCGTCTGCTCTCTGTGACTTCAACCAGAGACAAACTGACGTCTTCTTTTACTCTTCCACTACAGATATGTGGTCAAGCTCAAATATGACCCAGTACATTGCATTATCATTATATCACTGGCATAAAATGGGCTTTAATCTAATTACAATAATCATTATTGTGTCGATATTTCTGGGATATAATGTCCAACAGAAGTATTTATTTACACAACTCAAACTCATCATTGGAAAATTACTTTTTGTTTGTCTTCCTCTATAAAAGGTCAGAGTTGGCTCCTAAGGAGCTGCCTTGCTCACTGACACCTCAGCCAGGCAGAAACTCGCCCTTATGAGGGATTAAACATTCATCCTTGGGCCAATCTTTTGCCTAAAACAGACTCTGACAGGCACCTGTTTTTTAGCCGCCAGCCCTGAACTCTTCTTGTCGTTGACCTCGTCCTCTTCATCCTCACGCTCCTCCTCCGACTGTTGAAGTTGATCTGTAACGTCCAGAGGAGGACGAACGCTGCTTCCTGGGTCACAGATTTTGCTGTTAACACCGTCTGCCCTCTGGGTGTCACTGCGCCCGGCACCGGGCTCGGCCCAGCAGGAGAAGCCTTTAAGCTTCTCCAAGGTGGAGGAGCAGAGGCCCCCTCGGCTCGATGTTAGTGACGTCTCTGAAGAGATTATACAGAAAATTATTTATGTGTATAAACCCATAGAAGAAAATACCAAATGTACTGCACTCAGAATTTGTTCCTGCCCTCGTCTCCATGCTGTTTGGAGAAGTGTGATGCTTTTAGAAAGGAGAAGGGTGACCTATGTTGACGTGTTGAGAAGAAAACTGATGCAATTTGTTTCTGATGTGAAGGTGCACACACCACAACACACACACACACACACACACACAACACACACACACACACAGTCACCTTTAGTGCTCTGACAGGAAGCAGGCTCGCAGTCCAAATCCTCCATCTGCTGGTCTTGTGGAGACAGCTTGGCTCGTTTTGTTGGCAAACCCAAATCATCATCGCCAGCGGAAAGTTTCTGCTACAGGACAAAAGCAGTTTCACTTCATAAATAAGCATTGGCATTACGTTATATGTATATATATGTGATCTGAGCGTGTGTGTGTATTAAATGTAAAGTACACCACACCTTGCTTGCAGGTTTCTGTTTAATCCTACTCTGAGATACACTGCTGCTGCTGCTCAGCCCTCCGAAGTACCTGCTTATGGAGGTCTGGCTGGTGCAGGACTTCTTCAGAGACTTTGGCATGTTTTACTTTGCTCTCATATAAGATACATCATGGAAACATGTTTATTAATCTGCATGGAAAGCTGTACGGTGCAGCGAGAGGCTTCAGCTGCCCGGCTTTTCAAAACACAGCGGCGCATGTGCTGAGATCACACAGGCGCGTAAATGACGCACGCAGCGTCAAACCAATCAGACCATGAGAAGGTTTCCGGTTACGTTTCTTCAAAATTAAACTTTTTTTTTTTTTTTCATTTTATGAAATTTAATTATCTAGCTGTTCTCGTACAGATGAAAGCTATGCCTCAAATTAATAATGCGTGAGCGACCTTGTAAAAAGGTCCGTTTTTGTGAAACTTTCACATTTGGCTTAAACCTCTCTATTTCAGTATCATATGTCTGCTTTATTGTTTTTACTGGTCTTAGCTGGTCCTGACTATATCTGTTTGAAAGCAACTAAGGAAGTGTCTTTTTACATAATGTATTTTGGGAACAAAATGGAGGAAGTGAAAGGGCTTTTTTGTCTAGACAGCAAGAGGTGGAAAACATAGCTTTGAACTTATCGCACAAAGGTACCAGGTTATTTTCTGCTTCCAAAGATGATCTTGACGGCAAAAAAAATTAAGATACAAAAACAAAATTACGTTTTAAAAAAGCAAGCTGTCTAAGGGTTAATGAGGTCACTTTTGGACCAACCTTATTCAGGACTCTGGGGAGGAGGAGGAGTTTTTGTGAGGAAATGCAAATGTTCAACTGAAAGATTTGGAAGGCCTCTCTCCATTACGTCTCTCACTTGTCTGATTAACAAACTGTTTTTCTCTCTGTTCACGATGAAGCTTTACGGAGCTCTGATCCTGTTTATGACTCTGTCTACAGGTAAGAACATCTTTTGGTTTAGCACTAGTGCTTTGATTGAACATTGAACTTAAAGTAAACCACACCCAAAGTATAGAAAAGAAATGTGGGGATGTTTGAAAAAAATGTGCTGTCAGAAACTCTAAGAAATAGTTAAACATTTTAGGAAATGATTTGAATTGATACGGAGACAAGAGAACTCTTTCCCAAGGTTATTATAGTTGACTAAAACTAAACTAAAAACTAATAGTAGGTGTAAAAAAAAAAAAACCCATGACAACATTTTAGTTAACTGAAATAAAATAAAAAAGTAGACTTTAGAAAAAAAAAACTAACTGAAATAATATTATGTACTGACAAAACAAACTAAAATAAAAATAGACAGGAAAGTTTTAGTCTATGTCAATTTGGTCAAATTTGTCAACACAACAAGTACAGAAGGAACTGGTGCATATGTTTGAGATGTGAGTTCAATGTGTTTGTTGCTACTAAATCTAACAAATATGCCCCAATTTATAATTTAAAAAAAGCTCAAACTGAACTAAAAACAACTTAATCAAACAGCTAAAAAACGAAACTGGAGAACCAGCAACCCACTCTGTAGGACTAACTAAACTAAATGAATTGAAAAAACATTGTAAAAATGAAACAAAAATAAAAACTTGAAAACATAAACTATAGAGTGCTCCTAATAGCTTCCTGCCCTCAGTTTCTTCACCGTCTGCTGCTCGACTATCCCTAGAGGCCCAAAAAATGTTTAAAAAATAAACTAGGACTATAGTATGTACATTTTATTCGATTTTAATCCTGTAGCTAGTGTGATACGAGTTACTGCGATCCCTTGTTATTGAATTGACAAAATGAAATAGTTCTAAAATAACACCTAAAACCAATTTGCAAGCACCTACAATGAAGTTTAAATAAACTTTTACTTTGTGCTGATTGTGCACTCAGATAGTTTCTGGTTCATATATTGGCAGCTCTGAATCACTTCAAGCTGTCTTACTGGAAACCTTTCAGAGAGTGTGACCTAACTACACACTGCACTCTGTCTACACTGTCTTCTATAGAAACAACTTCTTCACTGTCTTCTATAGAAACAACTGCAAACCAAAAAAGATCCGTGCCATATGCTGTATGTCTTTAATTGGTGTCTGTTGTGTGTCTCTGCACAGCCTGTGGATTAAGATGCTACACATGCACAGCCGCAGACCCTAAATCCTGCACAGACACCAAATCTTGTTCTGTCATCTTCAACCGCTGTTTCTCTCTCAGAGTAGACGGTAAGGTTTTCTCTCACATTAGACGGTTTCCATAGCTAATATTGATTATATAATGGTCTTATTGGAGTTTTCCCATCCTGTTTTGCAGGTTATAGCATGGTAACCAAGGGCTGCCAAACCAGCCTAGCATGTGTTGGTGCCATAAAATGCTGTGAAGGGAACTTGTGTAACAGTGCCATGCCAATTGGTCCCAGTGTCGTCCTCCTGCTGATCTCCTCAGCCATCATCACACTCCTTCACTGAGACTCTGGAATTTTTTTTATTTCTATACTGTACTTTTTTCTGACCAAATTTGTACAACTGAAGAAGAATAAACAACTTCTAATAAGATAAACAACTCTATTTTTAAGTAAGTGAGATGATCTTACAATTTAGATTTCAGATGGATATGGATCGGGTTATTTAGTGCTGACTGTAACATATCTGTTACAGGACCGGCAGTATGCTTTGACACTTATTTTAAGCTCTAAAGTTTGGAGAAAACATCCTATTTCATCCTATTTCATTAGTTTTCTGGCTTGCACAATTGTATATTATCAACTTTATCTTGTGATGAAACATCTTACTTTAAATACAAGACAAACCTATATTCTCAGAAAAATCATTAATTCCAACACCTTTCTCTGATGATAATATATAATATATACCAAAGTAGCATGTATGGTTTCATATGAGCCAGGCACAGACAAAATTATGTAGGCTCTCTATTAAAAAGGACTATCTTTTGTTGGTCAAAAGTTTCTTTAAATGTGATACTTTCACAATGTTCATTGTCAATAAACAAGCGTTTACAACAAGGCAAGTGGACCTGTGAGGCTGTAGCTTTGAGCTAATTGCTAAACACATCCCAGATAAATGTATTAAACAGTATTTCTGTTTTCAGTTGAATACCCACAGCAATCAGCAGGAGGGATATGTGCGTTGCATCTGCAGTTTTCAGTTTGTTGATGCACAAAATGTCATTTTACTTACTTCATTAGTAACTACTTCATTAATCTTGTGACCCAACAGTTCTGTGGATCTTTAAAAATCCTTTATGTACATCATACTTTTGTGCACATGGTTCAACAGTCAGAGATTGTACTGTGGTTGTGATGTAATACCAAATTGTGCCACTACGTGGTGACTCTCTCTCACAATGAGATGGACTGACGGTGAGAGAGCTGTCAGCTGGTTGTTAAGTTGCACTGCTCAGACCAAGGCCTCCAGAACTCTCTTCAGTAAGTGAACAGTTAGTGCAGGTTGACTATGTCTCCCCAGGTAAGCAGCAGGACGTCATAACCTGCTGTTTCAGGGGTTTAAAGTGGAGCTGCATGCTTTATATTGAATCTCAATGCTGTGTCAAAATGAGCACAGGAGGGCTGAATCTTACATTTGATAATTTATTACAGCCACAGTACAGAATGGAAGAAAAATATACAGTTCTTTACACTGGTGGTGTCACATTCCCATTTACACACATTTATACACCGATGGGACAGCGTCTGGAGCAATTTGAGCTTCAGAGTCTCGCTAAAGTTCACTTTTACATGCAGTGGGAGGAGCTGCCAACCTACTGATCAGTGGACAAAATTATCTAGCCTACATCTTGACCCACAGCCACCCCCACAAACATCATATGATAGAACAATAACCTTGTCATGCTGTATCACATCTCCACCCCGGTTAAGAAAGCTAAATTCCTGTACCAAGTTCTTGAGGAGCGATAGAAAGTATCCTGACTGGAAACATCCCAAACTGGCATGGGATGTGCAGAAGGGCAGAAGGAGTCTGTTGCGGGTGAACAAAGCCCCCCAGAAGACGATATTGGTGAGGTGAAGTGCCTGCACAGAGCCCAAATGATGCTTAAAGAGACAGTACCCACCCCAGCCACAGCCTGTTCACCCTGCTGCTGCCATCTAGGAAGAGGTACAGAAGCTTCTGCTGCCTTACCACCAGACTTAAAGACAGCTTCTTCCCTCAGGCTTTGAGACTGTTCAATTTTTCCTCAACAATTCATTATACAATTTAGTTTTGTTTTTGTTGTTGTTTATGACTCAATAAATTTTTGGTTTGTTTTTTAGAAGTAAAATAAAACTATATCTGAATTTCTTGTCTCAAGTTACTAAACACAGCTAAATTAGCACAAACCACACAAATGAACACAAACACCTGTTTACACCTGGAGTGCGTCTTGGGCGATCCGATTACTCAGACCACTTCCAGGAGGCGCTGTTGTGTCTCATCTTCATTACAATAAATCATGGGACATTCATTAGTTTTAACAAAGCCGCTCAATGAGATAGAGCTCTCACAGGGAGTCTGCCAACAGAAATAGGCCAACGGACATCTCCAATTTTTGGGAAAGTACACTTTTACTTTCTCTGGCATTAATGGCTTTTTTCGTCATCTGTAATGTGAAAACAAGATTTCCACACAGTCAAAAAAAAAAGAAAAAGCATGTGTCCTAGTCATAAAGTTCAGTTATAATATCCCTGCTGACAGCGCAGGTAAAAGCGATGGGCTAGTGTGATGGTACACTGAAAAAAAGACTAATAGACAACGACTGACAAAATGTTGTAGTAGTAGTACAGCCCTATAGAACGGGGGAAGTGAGATCCGATCACAAGTGGTCACTGGAGATGCATGTTGAGACGCATTCTAATACCAGGTGTAAACTGGCTCTATGAGTTTATTTCAGCACTTAAAAAGTACAGTATCTACACTGATCAGCCATAACAGTATGTCCACCTGGGCACGCTGGTGGTCATAATGTTGTGCAGCCCCATACACAACAAACTGTGATGCACTGTGTGTTCTGACACGTTTCTATCAGAACCAGCATTACCTTTTTAGCAGTTGTAACTTATGGTTGCTCTTATATGGAGAAGGTGCTTCATGAATAATGTTATTACTGCCATTTATGTATCGCTGCAGGGGTCCAGTGAATGTTCCCATACCCTTCAGGTATAAGGGGCCGCAGCAGCTAATGTAAAAGCCATAAGTGAATCAATTGGGGATCATTGCTAAATTCATGTGCCAATTTACAAGTTGTTAGTATAATTATGTTGGTATTATATGTTGTACCGATCACTGGTAGCTATAGCTATGTAGCAACAACTGTTAGATTTAATGCTGCTGCCACACACTGCAGTCATCTCAGTTTAAATTAAATAAATACATTCATACAAAGTGCCTGTGAGGTTTTATGGGGATTGTGGTGAGTGTGAGTGTGAAAAGCCACAAAGTTTTTCCACTCTATCACAGATATGTGCTTTTGGCCTCTTTCGGTTGTGGTGACCCAGTTTGTAGTTCCGGCCTATCTGTGGTTATCCCTCGCGCGGTCTCGTCAAACTCTGGAGTACTTCGCCCGCGCTCGGAAACCGTCTTCCGGCAATGGCCTTCTACGAAGACTTGTTTAGCTCTCCAAGTGAGAATTGGTCCCAGTTAACAAAGAATGATCGCCGTTGTCACTTAAAGGAGATCCAAAAACATATGGAGGTTTCTGCGCTGTGAATGGCACCAGAAACAAGCCCCTCTCCAGAGGTGATGAGGTTTGAACAACAAACCACCAGCTAATAGGAGATGACCTGTTATACTGCATTTGTGTCAAAGGTTTGTTACCTGTGCGGGAGTGAGAAGACAGACCGTAATAATATAAGGGCTCTGAACCACTTTTATGTTAGACTTTTGTAGGCCTTTCCTTTCCTAAAGGACAACAGACACTGGCCAGTGTTGTGCCAGGATGGTCTGCAGTCTTCCTTCCACAACATAATTGACCTTATCATCCAATCTGGTGGCAAGGAGAGTGCGTCATGTTAGGAAATAACATGGCTGGAAATCAATTGTGGTCTGAAGTACCTAAATTACCAACTTCCCAGGTAGAATGTTTTGAGTCTTCCAAAAATCCTTCTGTGGTACTTTTCACCTGTGCAATAACACATGCGAGCCGTGCCAGTGGTGATTTGTGTCTTGACATTCCAGATAAGAAAACAGACTCTGTATTTCCTGTGCCTGTTTTTTTTTTTTCTTTGCCTATGTCTTGCAGTGACCTTGTGAAAGAGCAGAGAGATGACCTATACAGTCAGGTTCTCCTAGATGATGAGTGGAGAGTCTATGGATACCTTCTCCGAGACGGCCAATTGGTGAGAAAATAGATACCCAGGAAGGTATTTTGAGGGGGATGATATTGTGCACATTGTTTTGCCCTCTACATAAAGACTTATTGTACATCAGACTGCTTGTGATGCTGTTGCAGGGTATTTAGGTGTTCATTTAAAAAGAGACATATCTGCCTTGCCACACATGTCAGTTGACTGGAAAACTAAACCAGGTAATCAAACTTGTCCCTCTATATCCCATTCCACTTGCTGAACATCCATTTGGGCACATAACTATGTAGGTCCTTTGCCATGCTGCAAAGCTGGTAGTAACCCTTTGCTTACAGTGATGTCAGGCTACATGCTGTCGTGCAGGTTATCCCCTCAGAAACATCACCACCAAGTCAGCTATGAAAGCTTTGACACAATTGTGTTAATCCCAAAGATTATTCAGTCTGATTGGGGATCTAATTTCTGTTCATTGCCTACCAAGCTCAGAGCCAGGGAGCTCTAGAAAGGTTTCAACAAACCTTGAAGTCCCTTCTTAATGCATATTGCACTGATTTGGACTGTGACTGGGAGCAGGTGTTACCATAGCTGATGTTAGCTGCCAGGGAATACCAAGAGACTTTGGGATTTAGTCCTAGTGATGTGGTCTTTGGTCACACAGTTCAAGGTCCTCTAGCCACCCTACACAATGACGGACAAACCAAAGAGTCCCCATAACGTTAATTGTGTAAATGTTTCAGGGAAGTTCTCTGGTCCTCTTAAAACCCTATGCTTGCTCTCCTGTGCAAGGTTCTGAGTCATTGCTTTCCTCTGTTGCCATAGTGGTCCTAGTGGGTCATTCACCCCTACCTCTTGATCCGGCAGCGGAGTTGGAGGAAGAGTTCAGCACACCAGGTGAGAGCATTGAGAGTACGTCTTAAAAATTCTCAATCATTTACCAATCTAGACGGAATGTTAAAATATTTACTTGAACCAAAACAAACTGAGTTGGTGAATCTAATTAAAAGTCATCCTTGTCTGTTTGCAAATATCATACTCATCTTATTGAGCACGACATTAATGGAGGAGATGCTCAGCCGATCAGATGCTTTTATCGTATTTCTCCGGACAAGCATGAGCAGTTAGAAGCAGAAGTCGAACTATATGCTGGAGTCGTGTGCATCTTGTTGCTTACCCCATGCTTGCTTTCAAATACGTCAAATGGTAGTTTTAGACCATGTACTGATCCCTGGAAAGGGAACCAAGTGACCAGTGCCTGATTCTTACCCACTCCCGCCTATGGATAGGGTTTGAATCAGATTGGTTCTGCCAAGTTTTTCAGCAAGTTCAACTTACTTTCCACCTTCCAGCACCCAATGAACAAGGTAGTGTCAAGTTTGGTGGGCCATGTATTTGACTGACATAGTGAGTGACATACAGCGACTCTTGGGAAGTTAATCTCCAGTGCGTTCGGCTTCTGTTTGCCCATCTGGCCTGGGAGCCAGTTGGCAGTGTAAATCTTCTCCCTAAAAAAATTCCCCCCCATGTTATAATTGAAAAAAAATTAAAACTAATACTGATACAAATAAAAGCTCAAACTAAACATTTTTAAACAATATAAACCATATTGACATGAGAAAACCCACTC